AACGCCAGAGGCACTCAAAAATTCGAGGGAAAGGCTGCGTGCAATTTCTGTTTCGTCTTCTATAGTGTACAGGTTTTTTAGGTACTACTTCGAACACATTCTTCCTGCAGATATTCATACTACTTACTTGATATTTGAACGGCGGCCCATCCTCACTAGTTGTGCGGGCCCCAGTATAACCTCTATTTTTCGGAAATTTGCTGGTTAAGCCTCCCGAAGTCATCCTGGCCAAAGTCTGCCCAGGTCTTCACCACCACACGCAGTCGCCGCCGCTGTGGATCAGAGATAAATTTGTCATCATGCGACTTTGATACCAGGATGGTGGTGGACCCTGGTTTTTGTTAACTAATAGCTAGGTTTACTTATGAAAAGGCCGAACTCCATCTCAGCTTGGGAGACTCTACCAGGAGGATGAATGCTCCCGCTGTACATCGCAGTTCGACACCCAAGAACACCTCCCAGCCACGATGAGGTGGTAAGCCGTTGGGAGAATTCATATTACTACGTTCTTTAAGTTCTCGAGGGTCCCCTACTATGAGAAAACCTTAACAATCAGTCCCAAGTCAGCAACGAAACCACGTTCTTCAGCTTAGCCGACACGGCACGGCAAATAGCAAAGAGTTTTCATAACAATGAACCTTGCGACAGACTATTTTCCCGACTATACTACATAATGACTTACAAGATCCATAAATGTAGTAGATTTTCAAACAAAGTGAGTTAACGAACAGATTCAGAGAGAAGAAACACTACTAGAGTTCCCTACTTTTTTAAGCTGAGTAAAAAATGAACCGTTTTTGACTTTGATCAATTCCCAATTGGACTCTCTCCAGTTTTCAAGTGGATGGCCTAAAATGGACTAATAATTTTCCTTCAAATGGGACCACTTATTGAGTTCTTTCGAGATTTCGGAAGCTCCACCATGATACCGCTAGCTCCAGTTGAAACTGAAAAAGTATTAAGCCTAAGCCTAAGCCAGAAAAATTTCTTCGCCGAGTCAGCTTAACTTAACAGCTTAACATCCTCAAACACTTTGTGAAATGATATGGGTATATCATCGGATTCCCGTTTTTTTTTTAATTTTCGTATTGAAGAAACGGGCAATGATGGACCACTCAAATAAATTCTATTCTTATAACACGACATCACATATCGTGCGGATCCCAACACTTCACCCACTCCGGTCGTTTCTTCGCATCCACGAAGGTCTTCGGATTTGCACTTGTGTTATGGTGCTAATTTACGACTTCATCGTCAAATTCGATATTTCCATCTGAAAGACCAGAAGAGTCAACGTTTGCCATGCCAGAGCTCAGAGATCTACCTTGTCGAAGAGAGCAGTAGTGATAAGGGACTTCACATCAAAAAGGTGATGCCTGTTATAATGAACTGGCCGATTTAAAATATGTACAAAAGCGCCAAAGCGAACATGTTTAGCAGTTCCACAACCGGTAGCCATGACCCGTGCCGGGTTCGTCGGAACGTGTGTCCTTGCTTAATCCGACAATTGTCCGTTGTGGGTTAAAGGGCGCAGAGAGATGTTGTTTATGGACTGTGGACAACTCGTCCCTCATGTGTGGGTCTCATCGAAGAATTCGGCGTGGGCTTGCTATGAGCTCGTAATTTGCTTGAACTGCTTCGTGATGTTTTGTATTGTTACGCATCGTGTTATTCAGAATTTTACTAGGAACTGAAGAGTTGTGCTGAATTCAGGACGGATAGACTGGTGACTGCATCACTGAGAAGCTGGAGGTGAACGGGTCAAATAGGAAGCGTAGTTAGGAGTGAGGGTAGGGGAACATTGGTTGCCTGTGATGCTACGCTAGCACTCTTACAAAGGATGTTGTCGAATTCTGAGCTGCCATCTCACACTGTCTCCCTACATTCTCGTTTAACGTCGCTTTCACCTCGAATGCAAGGACTGCAGACTTTATCCACGTATAGTCCTGATTTTCCTCAGCGCCTGCTGTACCGTTTTCAACATGTCTTCCTGTCTAGAACTAGAAAACAGCGGCTCAAATTTCATTTCTTGCAAGCTCATTAGTTCTTTTCCAAACCACTCCCACCTACTTTTCAAGCATCTTCCGTTTTGTCTTCACCTGCTCTGTCCTGATTCCAGCACTGCTTGCGTTCGAATCATCCATCAACTACGAGGGCCTCCCAACTTTTCTGCTTGTAGGTTCGCGTGCTTGAGGATTGTCGTCTTCCCTACGAATGTCGTTGATTGCTGGTTGAGTCGGTTACCCATAGGCTGCTGAGATGACCGAGCCAGAGCGTTCCCATGTTTTCAAGAGTTTCTTCTCCAATTATTCATTATTCATCTATCCATGCAGTTCATTTCGCCATATACATGAACAAAATAGGACATGGAAATGATTCTCATTGTCCTCATCTATGGATGACATTGTCCCTTGGAAAGCTATGTAAGAGAAACGTAAGAGAATTGTGTTTCATAAGCATCAAAGAACTGAGGAGTTAAGAAGAGACGTCACCGCTATTTTTCTTCTGTTTTTCTGTCAACAGCTTTCTTTAACAGGACCTCACAGAAAGTCAGTAAAACGAGTACTCCATCCTCGTTAATAATTGGTTTCGAACGAGTAGTTAAGAGCTTACCGCACCAGGTGCTCTATATAGATTCTCTTCAAACTGCCATCGTTGTCCACAAGCCCCTTCACATTCCTGTATTCGTTCAGTGTGTACTGTGTAACATTATAGTAGTGTTTAGAACCATTATCTAGTATTACGACCGTGATATTTATACCATATAAATAATGTCATACAATTATATTGAAAGTTTCCTAGGGAGCCATGGGTAAGAAGAGCGCCATACAAAAATCCAGTAAAGGGGATTTGATTCCCACTCCCGGTCCACTGGAACAACAGATCGAAGGAGGGAAGATGGCGAAGAGTCGTCTTACAGCTCGCGAGAAACGGAAGAGGAAGAGCGAGCAGCAAATTGGAGAGGTATGCTGTTCGAGCTTTTCGTAATAAAGATAATTTCGACCTCACAATACCACCTCCCTCGGCTTAAATGTTTGATGGGACACTTGTGTGAAAGGAAGAGGTACGATTGTTCTTTTGTTGGAAATTGTTTCACTTCATGACCAAGTTTAGTCTGAATTCATTGGTTTGTTAACCTATGCGAGTATGTATGCTGGAAGGGAATTTGTGATTCCAATTGGTACTATTCCTTCCAATGGTTTACCGTCTTGTCGTGAATGGGAGGTGTTCTTGGGTGTCGGGCTGCGGTGTACAGCTGAAGGATTCATCCCCCAAGTAGGGTCTCCCAAACTGAGAACAAGTCCGGCGCTTCCATCAGGAAACCCAGCTATGGGTAAACCAATATCAGGACCCACCACCGTACTAGTATCAAACTAATCGTATGGTGACAAATCTCCTGATCCGCAAGGTGAGGGCATCCATCAAAGTATCCAAGTAATTAAGCAAGTATCTGATACCCTTTTCTTAGGATTCAATGTTACTTTGGGATATCTACCTTAACTAAAAGGTAGCATCGTAAATAAAACACAAATGGATCTCCGTGTATCCCAAAACTGACCTTCGTGTGCGACTTAACACTCAAAGAGCACCCACATTCTATTTGTGGAATACATTTTCGGAACTCAACATCTTTTTGCTGTGCTTTACCAAAAGGGTTCATCAGAAGACGTCTACTTTATATCATTCTTCGTCTACGCATTTATCTTTGTTAACAGTCGTTTTCTTGTTCAGCAATCGCGAGGTTTTTAAACAGCATACATTTACTTCCATAAAAACACAATACAATACAACGCTAGCTGACGTTTCGGCAGTATCGCCTTCTTCAGAGCCTGGAAGGGTATACTGATATACAATCTACTAGGCCAAACGCTTCAATAACACTTACAAGAAGACTAAGAACTCTCCGGTAATTACATAATCAACAACTTCTCGAAAAACCCACCGCTTTTTCGTGACTTCCAATGAGGTGTTTTGTTAACAGTGTATAATGTAGCGTACATTTTTCCAATAAACACCTTCGAAATCATATGGGGGAAGATGTTCTAGTGCTTTTATGTTCCCAATGTTTGCAGTATATTCCTAACACTCTATCTGGGAAAATCATTTCGGAGGCAAGGCGACAACTGGATGAAATCAGCAAAGAGGATGGTGGTAAAGAAATCAAAAACACAACACAAATAGACAACAAAAAGAGGTTAGCAACCTATGTCGTAGGATTTACGTTAATCCTGGCTTTTTGTACCATATTTTTAATATTATCCTCGTATTGAAGAATACGACATGTGAGTTTGGCTACGTCGAGTAACGAAGGTTCAGATAACGACGAACCCTTCCAAAATGATTATGACGATCAAGTGATCGTAAGTTTCGACTATATTCATTTTATACTTTTCCGTTGCTTGCTTCTTCTCTTTTTACTTCTAGATGTTTTTTTTATCTTCACTTTTAGTACTGATAACTTCAAAAGCTCTAAACATAAGGCAAGCTCTATCCAGTTATCCGAGTTGTCCTATCATAGAGCCATCGTACTCAAACTGTTTTGCTGACAACTTAGGTAGCCCTATTTTATAATGATATGGTCCAACTTAGTCACATTCACGAGACAGATATTTCTGGAAATTTCCTAACATTCCATCAGAACCATTAGAAAGTTGAGAATTTAAAGAAATTACTGAGTAAGCATTGCTGTAATCCCTTAATATATTGCATTATTTTCATACTCTGTTCTTTTAGCGTCAAATTTGTTTAAAGCTGAAAATTTGAGTGTAAAAAAATTTTCAACGCAAACATGGTAACCGCGAAAATGAACGGTACATTAGAGAAAAGTCATATTTTCCAGGACAAAATCTTTTTGTCGGCTCCAGAAAATGAAAATTTCACTTTGGTAGGATGAAAAAAAGCTGTTTGCTTGGGAGAAGTGTGTAAATTCTGCTGGTTTCTATTTTACTCCGTAGTGTTTTCCAGTAGTGTGATATATTGGGAGTGGCCACTGTTTTGCCATGTGCATTGAGTTCAAAGCACACAATCGAAAGTCATTTCCGAAAGCTTCGTATGCGTAGATAGATCATAATTTGGTGTCTGTTAACGTCACACCTAACGATTTTACACCATTTTCCATGAACATTGGTTTTTCGCAGCTTATATGTGTTCAGCAGTCGGTTTACATCTTTGCCTTTTTACTTTTACTTGTCTATTAATGGGTTAATACAGAGTTTGGATCCGAATGTTGAAGAAGAATTGTCTCGGTTTATGCGCGATAAGCAAGAAGGTAACAAAACGCTCTACGATCTTATTGAGGCGAAAATTAATGCGAAGATGGATGATGTGGATGTGGCTTTGGGCACCGTAGATCCAAATGAGTTCAACGTGAGTTTCTCTCTTTTGTCAGGTTTTGTTTTTTGAATAAATGCGTACGATCTCTCTAATTTACAACTAATTCTACCCAATCTTTATGATGATTTAGCTCCGAGATCTTGATCCCGAAGTTGTTGAGATGTACAAAGAAATCGGTAAAGTTCTATCGAAATACAGGAGTGGAAAGATACCAAAAGCCTTCAAAGTGATACCAAAGATGGTTAACTGGGAGCAAATATTATAGTGAGTTGTCTTTGGTTTTAAAAACTAAATTCCTGCCATATTTTCCATTAATAGCTTGACTGATCCTGACGGTTGGAGTGCAGCCGCAGTTTACCAGGCGACGAGACTTTTCGCTTCCAACATGAATCCAAGAATGTGCCAACGGTTTGTGAATCGATTTAAGTCATATTTGCAGTAATTCTCGCTCATTATCAACAGCAAGTTGATTTAGATTTTACAACCTTGTTCTTCTTCCGCGTCTTCGAGACGATATCGATGAATTTAAGAAACTCAACTTCCACTTATATCAGGCTCTTTGTAAGGCTATGTATAAGCCGGCTGCATTTTTCAAGGGCATAATATTACCACTTTGTGAGGTAATTTAGTTTTACGGGGATGTCTTACAACTTGTATTCAATATATTGTGGGTCAATTTCTGTAGCTAGTCATCGATTTAATCATACTCTTTGTTTTTTACTATTTTCTTTTAATAGTTTCTTCATTTTTCTTTTCCAGTCTGGAACTTGCACTCTTCGAGAGGCTGTTATCTTTAGTTCTGTGCTTGCGAAAGTGTCCATACCTATATTCCATGCAGCTGCAGCGATGTTAAAGGCAAGCTATGTTCTACAGTATTCTTAACGTTTCATCAAAACATCGTTCTTTAGTATCGAAAGATTCTTGCGAATCACTGAGTAATGTGATTATCTTTTAATGGTATGGATTTCTTTCCAAGAACTATCGAAAGTTTGTTGATTAAAATACTCTTAACGTTTCGACGTCTTCGTCTTCCTCAGAGATATCGTGGACATGGACTCGGATCATCGGCTCTGAGGGGGATGAAAACGTCCAAACGTTAGCCGAATAAATATTGGTAACAACCTCGTGTGAGCTTGTCAATGAAGGAACGTACATTGATCATTTATACCGAGGTTAAGTGAAAGCCGGTTTACAATGATACGATATACTCTTAGTTTTATTTTGTGCTCAAAATGCATATCGACAGAAGTACTCATATTGAACAGATTTATAGTTATGAGTAGTAATCGTGAATCAGTCCATACTTCTTCCTAGATTGCTGAAATGGAATACAACGGTGCCAATTCTGTGTTTCTGCGAGCTCTAATTGACAAAAAATTCGCACTACCGTACAAAGTGATTGATGCGATTGTGTCTCACTTCCTTAGGTTTGTAATTGTCGGAATTATACAAAGTGTGTGTTTTAAAAAGTAGCCCATCGTTCGCCTAGTTTATCGCTGAGTGCTACTACTGGTGACCCCCACCAATTTTAATGGATAGAGTTTCATTTTCTACCCGGCATAGCTCAATTTCTTCACTTCGACATATGAGATATGTGATGGCACTCAAAGCTCACTTTCGTACGCTCTCTGATTTCTTTTCTTTTCGGTTCACATGTTTGTTTCATATTCTACGTAGTGGTAGACTAAGTAAATTTCACATCCCTGACGAAGTCTACCGAAATATGGGCCACTAATGAAGTAAACGTTGTGTTAACAACTGCCGTATAAACAATAACTTTCAACGAATTTAGAGGTTATCTTGAAGTAGGTTATAAGGTATTGCGTGGAAACACTTATCGACACTATTCATTAGAGGTTTGGAGTTACTAACGCTTAAAAATGAAAGTACGATTTCCGGATGAAGAACGATGAGCGCGACATGCCAGTGCTTTGGCATCAGTGCCTTCTTGCTGTTTGTCAACGCTACAAAAATGACCTTAGTCAAGAGCAGAAATCTGCTGTTATGGACCTTATCAGAGTAAGTTCTCGTAGAATAATCCTGTTTTATGACTTTGTTAACGATTGGCTTTCCAGTATCAAAGTCATTACCTTATTTCGCCTGAAATCCGTCGTGAATTGGAGTCCAACGTGTCCGCTGAGAATGTTCCTCCTTTCATGAGAATCGACATCCAAACAAGGAAAAATGATAGCATGGAGTTTTGACTGTATCTTTGTCTATGTTTATTTCACTAGTCTTCAAAGGTTTTATCCCTTCATGGGATGTTGTCTCGTTATTGTTGACTGCTTTTATTGTTATTGCATAACAGTTATAAATAAAAGGGTTATCATAAGAGGTTAAGAAGCTGTCTTCGTAGATTATGGTAGCTATGGAAAGGTTGTCCACTTTACGATCCCTATAACCTAAAATTTTTACACTCTTTGCATATGATTTACATTCATTGTAGCTCATAACCAGCAGTCTTCATGGTTTACATATTACTTGGATCCTTGGATAAGTACATGGTCTATTTTCAGTAGTAGCACTGCCCCAGCACATTTTCTGCTCGTTTCTTTCTCGCGTAATCGTTATCCATGGTGATAGTCTGCTTTAAACATGTTCAAGTTAGCGCCCAATCCGCAATCCTGCATTCATCTCCATCTGCGATTGCGGCTAGTCGACGCTAGCCGTGAAGACGTTCGCTCATCATTTGCGTGGGCGTCCAAGAGAATGCTTGCATTCCTTTGGAGTCCAGCGCTTCTTTCCGTCTATCCGTCATCTGTTCCTCTTATTGGGTGACCGGCTCCTACGTAAGTGGCTACCGGCGTATATTCTACTGGATCGCGAAGGTGGGATAGGTTTCGAAGATCTGAGCTGCACATTCCAACTAAACGTTATAACTTGTTAAATTTCGTGAGATATCGTTCAAAGGTTCAATGGGTAACGCACAGTATTCTTGACGTGAGTGAGATTTCAGCCCACGTCTCTGCTCCATAATAAAACTCTGAAAGCACTATTGAGTTGAAAATGTTTGCATGGACTTTTAGGGTCCGCTAGTTTCCCGGTGGCTTCGTTGAGACGTCCGGATACCGCATATACTGTTCTCTTGTTTTTTGATAGGAATATTCCATCAGTACGTATGGCATTGTCGTCCATGTCGAGCGAATTCATTATCCACTGCAATGCTGTAGTAAACAGCCTTGACGTTATGGTGTCGCCTTATCGAAGCCTGCTACCTATGGGTACGGTAGGGGATTAATCAAAAAACAGTATTTCAAAAACCAAAAATCAAAAACAGTAACCACCAGTAATCATTGACCTTGATAAGCTGGTGGGAAACATCGCACAATGAGCTGTGAAAATCATAATAACATCCTTTACATTTCCGCTTCCTCCCAACGGTTTACCGCCTCATTGTGGCTGGGAGGTGTTCCTGGGTGTCGGACTGCGATGTACAGCGGAGGATTCATCCTCTGGCAGGGTCTATCAAGCTAAGAAGGAGTCCATCGTTTCCATTAGGAGGCCTAGCTAAGGGTAAACCAGTACCAGGATCCACTGCCGTCCTGGTATCAGAATTTCATGGTGGCAAATCTCCCTCTGATCCACAAGGGCTGCGACTCTTGTGGTGGTGACGACCTGCGGTAGACTTTGGCCGGGCTGACGTCGGGATTCCACGAAACCGGAATGGCTTAAGCAGCAAATTTCCGAAAAATGGAGGGGGTCTGCACAACCAGTGAGGACGTGCCATTCAAGTGTCAAAGGTATATTTCCGCTTCAGTACCCAAATTCCATCGTGCTGCTCATCGTTTCCTGATCGGTTTAAGACGGATGGTGTACTTGAGAAGTCCTTTCCTATTCATTCTACAAATGCCAGCAGGATGGATCCTTCTTCGCACTAATTTCCCGGCAAAGCGAACACCTACGCACTAACTCTCTGTTTTTCTTAATAAACAGACACGAGACTGTTGGTACAGCGTTTATTAATCAATTCACAATAGTTGACGTTCCGACGGTTTTGCCTGTTCCAGAGCCTGGAGAGGTCAAATTGATACGCAATCTACTCAGCCAAACACTTTCATAATCTCAGCAGACAAAACTTAACACATGGATTTGCATTCGAATAATAAACAGCTTCTTTTGAACACTCACAGCTTTGTTCGTTCTAAGTCTTCCAGTTTTTTTTGGTGGAGACCAGCCCTACAGAGTGCTGCTTAGGCGAGGAATATGCCTGGCCTAGGTCAGAGAATCGACCTCAGGTACAACGCCAACATTGCATAATATGCCCCAATTCTACCAGGGCAAAAGTTGAATTTTTGTTGACATTTTGAATTTTGTGGAGACTAGGAGTGAAAATAACACTCTAAGAAATCCACTGTATCCTTTTAGAACGTTAAAGCAAAGCCTCTTCTGCAAGTTCGTCAAGTGCCTAGCTTCTCAAGTCGTTCAGTGCGTATATTCTGCAGCCGACATGAAATTACGCGTCGTTCGGCACCGCCAAATTTTAGTGTCGGGTGTTATGCGTTGATAAGGTCATATCTTGAGGGTGTTTCGGTTTTGTTTTCAGTTTTTTCGAATGAAAGTTTTTGAACTGCTATTACTAGACTTTCATTGATTCAAGCTTTCGCCGTTTTTACCGTAAAAATAGAGAAAGAAGAGTGTGGATGAAATATGTGGAAGTGGAGATGGCCGCGAAATTGATCCGGAAATTCTGTGGCTCAGTGCTTCTGCCAAGTTGTTTTTGGGTTGTTTCTCACATATTCCATTTCTGTTGCAGAACCACGACCGAAATGATGCGACGTTTGCAGTACGTTCACTGTCCTTATTGGCTATGGCCTTCGGTGTCCACAGCAGGATTTCCTCAGTATTCCTTACACCGCAGGTTAGTTTCATGGGAACTCCATCTCAAGGCATTAAGGAGCAATTATGGTTTCTGTCTTTGTTATAATCCGATAACAGGAAAAAACATAATTTATAGAGTTTCATCGGGAGGAGGGATTGAGAAGAATAACTCCAACGTGATTCCCTTGTTGAGGATCCCGAGCGCATCGAATCTGGTCTTGAACGCACCTACGAATATCCAACCTTACTTGCGTCTAATGCGCATCGACAAACCGATCGGTTTGTGTTTGTTTCTTTATTATTTTTTTTTGCATGATCGCTGTTCTTGGGACAATCTCACGCGAGTTTCCTAGCTACTTCAATAATTGATCGCCTGGATAAATATTTGAAAGCCAAAAGGCATCTTATTTAAATTAACAGTCATACCAGGGGTTCAGATTTCTGGCAATGTAACTACATATCGTATTGGGTAGGTTTTTTTTCTGAATAGATATTCCTTAAATATGGACTACTACGCCCATATTCTCTGTTCCCACTGCTATAATGTAAAGCCATGAGTCATATCATCTAGTCTGAAATACGGTGCTATGCCCCATGTGATATTGTGGCACTAGTTTCGATAATTATTTAGATCTTTGAAATTTATTCAAAGTACATCAAAATTCTCGGACGCGAATATTCTCGCGTCCTGCGCTAGGATCATTCTTAAGTTTCAAATTCATTACCATTATTTCTTTGTGTACTAATCGTGCATAGTGGAATACTTTGTAGGATTATAAACTTCATGCTTAGATTCTTTTATGCAGACAAGAGCTGCTGGTTCATTTCTTTTGTGAAAGTATTTGTTTTTACATGTACCACAGGAGGCCAAGTACCCTGTGCTTGAATCCATACAATCTCCATTTGTGCCCCTTGCGCGAAATGTACACTGTGCGAACTCCGTGTTGTGCGCAGACGCTGATCTAGACCGTTTCGAGCCAAACGACGATATCTCGGGTTTGGTGGTGCTGTAAGAAGTTTCATAAGGTGACGGAAACGGGAAAACTTTGTGCCATCTCTTAATAGCAGTATTTACTCCATTTGTAATTGAACTAAATTACGTATGATCTTATTTAAAGTGGTTGCTTTGAGGCATGAGTTTTCACTTAAGGCTGACCGATGATTTCCGTGCCATATAGAATGGTTGCTTCATTTCTTAGTTCCACGTTATTGTAGATGTTCCAAACATATCTCTAACCAGCGATTTTTTTATGCGTGAATTTTGAGGAAAAATAGTGTACTAGGACGATTTTATTACTCGTTTACGCTGCCACGTTAAAACTATATTACATTGTTGTAGTGTTTAAGAAGGTTAAATTGTATGTTAAGAAATGTGAGCCAATTTCACACTGGTTTCTCTCCAGTGAACTTTATGACCTCCGCCAGTTCATTGAAAACTCGAAACAGTTTTCCATATGCTGTTGCGTAGAGCATGGAAGGAAACACTCTTCGTTATACCTACGCTACTAGAGAACTATTTCGAGAGCGAAAAGGTGTAGTGACGAAACTTGGTCGCTATCGAGTAACTTATTCTTAACCAGTTTGTAATATTTTCCGCGCCATATCTCCACTTCATGTTTATCAAGTCTGGGTGCTATAAGCGTGCCATTTGTTATGTAATGTTCATTTGTAACTTTTCAGTAGCAATAGAATTGGCCTAGACTTGTCCATCACTCTTCATGTTTTAAGGAACGTGGCTACTTTATTGGCCGTGCACATGGTCTATCGGGTTAGCTACGCCAGCAGGAGAGCTACCTTCTCTATACTATCTAACACTTTTTGGAGCTGGTGCACTACTAATGCGTAGTGCCGGCTGTGTTATCAACGACTTGTGGGATAAGGATTTCGACAAACAGGTACTTTCTTTTTTTGTCATTATTTCTAAATCTCATTGCACAAAGCGCTATGAAAAAGCCGTGCACACTTACAAAATGTGCGCCCTAAAATATCTCGAGTTCCTATAAATATGGCAGACAAAGCTCGTAACGTGTTAATCAGGCAGAGATGCCTCATAACTTCTGAATTTCATTTCGTAAATCCGCTTAGATGGTGAATTTAAATATAACTGTATAATGAATTATGTGACCCAATACGAGGAGGTACGAGGAAGAATTTGGGGACTGAGATATTATCTTCACGAAGTTGCGGCCTACTTCACGTTAGCGCTATGAAAGTTGGAAGTTCGAAAGTCACCAAGAGACGTCTGTCTCCAGAAGCACTCGAGCTGGTACACCAGCGTGGACTCGCACGAGCTGCAGGCAATCGCGAACTGGCGTCCCAACTTGCGAAACAATGCAGACAGGCGATAAAAGAAGATCTTAAAGAGAGAAGAGCAGCAGTAATGGTCGAAGCTGTAGAGGCTGAGAAAAGCATTCGCAAAGTCCACCGAAGCTTCGCCAATTACGAGACCAAGGTGATTGCACTTCGACGCCCAGACGGAACAGTTACAGCGTCCAGAAAGGCAATGGAGAAAGTCATTCACGAATACTACTTCTTTTCAATAGCCACGTCATCTTTCCCCCATATGGAATAAAGGAGAATGGATATGTCGTACTACTGGTTCTTTCTTCCGAAATTCGACATGTTCTTTCCTCGGTGAAAAATCGAACAGCACCAGGTCCGGAGAGGATAAGATCCGAACACTTGAAGAAGCTTCCGTTAGTTCTCGTAAACACACTGCGCGCGGGTGTTCACACGTTTCCTGTCCTAATGCAAGGTCCCTACTCAGTGAAAGAGCAGCAGGACCGTGCTACTCTTCAAGAAGGGTGACCTGTACGATATCGGCAACTATCGCCTTATCTGGTTGCTGTCTGCCGTCTACAAACTTTTCACTCGAGTCGTCCTAAACACGATTGACAGAACATTCGACAAAGGGCAGCCATGTGAGCAAACAGGGTTTCGAAAAGGATTCAGTACGGTGGACCGCATCCTGACGATAACAATACTGAGCAAAGTATCGCGAGAGTACAAAAGACCGCTCTTTCTCACTGTCATCATTTAAAGAGGGCTTTTTACTCAGTTCAGATAGAAGCAATCGTGGAAGCCCTGGACACTCAGTGAGTTCCCACTCAGTATATAAAAATTCGTCATCAGCTGTATAGAAATTTTTCAACCAAGACATCACCATTCTACAACAATATTAACGTCGTCGTCAAAAGAGGGTTAGGCAAGGCGATACTATTCCGCCACAATTATTCACCGCCACCCTTGGGAACGTTATGCGAACATTGGAATTGGAGTTAAAATCGATGACCAGCAATTACACTATATTTGTTTTGCTGATGATATCGTTTTTATAACACCAAATATTAGCTAAATGGAACGATTGCTTGCCGACTTTAATAAAGCCAATGGAAAGGTTGGTCTTAGAATAAATCTCACGAAAACGATGTTCATGAGGAACGGATTGGTTTCGTATGCCCCATTCACGTTCAATGGAACGAAAATCTCCGAATTCTCCAGCTCCAGTTACGTCTATCTAGGTCGGTCGGAAAATCAACATGATGCACGACTTAGCTCCAGAGTTGATCAGAAGAAAACGTACGGTTTGGAGAGCATTCAAGAGCATCGAGGAAGTAGTGAAGGGAACAAAGAACACCTTGCCCACCTTTTCGACTCAACGGTACTAGCTGCCGTAACGTATGCGTCAGAAACCTGTTCTTTGGTTAAGCAGGATGAAAGATCACTCGGCGTTATCGAACGCGCAGTCGAAAGGACGATGCTAGGAGTAGCTCGTTTCAGACAAGTAAGGGAATGGATCGGAAGGTCCGACCTGCTTCAACGATCAAAAATCAAAGTTGTCCTTCTGTACGCCAAGCAGTCGAAAATAAGGTGGACCGGTCTCGTAATACGTATGAATGACAACCGATGGACAGGAGCCGTTAGTGACTGGATTCCTTGGTATATCAAGCGCACTGCAGGAAGACCACCGACCTAATGGTCAGAGTTATTCTGGAAGAGCGTAGAAGAAATATATGATGCTCAACGAGTCCCTAGGACGAGCAGAACCCACTGGGCTACTCTCGCACGTGACAGGAAAAAGTGGAAGATTTACTGGCGCCCGCCCCTCGAGTCACTCGACGATCGACGGGACTACAGGTGTTACAGGTGATACAGGTTTACTCTTAGGTGAATTTACGGATGGAAGTATTGATTTCGTTCCTAGTTTGGAAGAACCGATGAACTCCCGTTTGTAAATCGCGGTTTAGTGGCCGCGTACGTCCTCCAGCCTGTGCGAAGGATGAGCCGTTGAGGAGTCCTATGTTGCTATAAATTCGTATATATCTGAGCAAGAAAAGTTATTCTTCGTGTTTTATTTTTGAAAAGCTCCAGGATTTCAAAATGAAGTTTCTTTCTTGATGTTTGGTAAAATTTTAGGTTGAACGCACAAAGATGCGGCCCTTAGCATGTGGAGCACTCACTCAAAGGCAAGCATTGGCTCTCCTGAGCGGTTTGTTGTGTGCATCTTTCTCAATTCTGATGCAGATGAACTGGTTTAGGTACGGATTTTCCGATAGCTCGGGCTCCTACCTTACTTTTCATTTCCTTCTTTTGAATCCACTCTGGTTCGTTTCAGCGTGGTTGTTGGTTCAACTTCAATGCTTCTTGTGGTTGGGTATCCATTGGCGAAGAGATACACTTACTGGCCACAGTTTATCCTGGGTAATATTTGTTTTGTTAGTGGTAGCCGAGTTCGTAGTCGTCACATCTCGTTTGCTCTCGATCTATGCTGTGTTTCTGTAACATGAAACGTGCCGAGGTGTTTGCGGTTCTTGACGTGCTGAAGTTATTTTTGCTGTCTAAACGGAAATTTGTTCAATCTATCATCAATTACCGTGTGGGTTGTATGGGTGAAAGTTCGTGTTCTTATTAATCCATGTGAGAATATTCCTCCTATTACGGAATATTCCTCTATTCGTCAAAGCAACCTCCTCGTGCCAGTACTCTTTTTTTCTATTATATGTACTCAAGTGCGAGAACGTGTTAGCTAAGTGCAAAAATGTGATGGAGTGGGAATTGCTTTAGCAGTGAGGAGAAGACTTGCGGGGTAAGGTGCCTCAAGCTTGGGTAATTAAACCTTTACACACGTATTCTTAGACAATAACGCAGATTCGAGATATATGTGCAATAAGCTGCAAGTCTCTGCGACACACACCACGCACTTGTAGGTGGGTACGACTCCTAGCAATGTTTTTTGCTTTTTGAAGGTGCGTGGATCTCGCAGTTGCCCTTCCATCATCGTTTTGCCCTCCTGGAATCAATGTCGCATTCTCGCACTTCGCTACATTGTATATGATTGAAGAAACAACGCTAATAACTGTTTGCAGAAGGCTGGAGTTGTTGTGAAAATCTGACAGCAACAATTCTTAGCAGCAGATTGTTCCGTTGTCTTTTGAAGCATGATGATAATTTAGTAACTTCAACTGCATACCTTTACATATCATTCTATTTTCATTACAATTTATTTTGCAATATTACTGAGTAGCTCTTGTGTAGACGTAACGAATTTATTGCAGGAGCCACCCTCAACTGGGGTGTGTTGATTGCGTGGGCTGAGATGATGCCTCAAGATCAGTTTTATACCGTATTTCCGCTGTACTTCGCTACAGTGTTTTATACTGTAATATACGACACAATATATAGCCATCAGGTCATTATGGATATCTTCTAGGACGGGATATCACCATATTGCATTTCTAAAGTGAATGCTTGTGCTTGCCGGTGTGTCGTAATTTATGCAGTTTTCTCTCTTGTGTCGACATCCATAGTTGGTGTACAAGTTCCATGTCGATTACGCGACCATTTTTTTCCGAGATAAGGAAACCTGCAATTTCACTCATATTTGATCTTGCAACTTTAACAAGGCGTTCACGCCACCATAGTCAGTTTTGCGCATTTCTCAAATTCAGATGCTGTTCTCGAAGTTTCAGTCTCTTTGTTTAAGTCGCGATTTTTTCATGACAACGCTTCTCACGAAATGTAGCCTCTGAGATAGAATGCAAACGAATTCGTCATTTAAATATTCGAGCACAATGGAGCAGTGGAGAGATCGCAAGTAACTAACTGTTGAGTAGATTCTGCAATAAAATTTGTTTGATCTTGTGCGCATCCGATACGCATAGGAACTCAGTACTAGCCAAATATGGAGTGTCGCTATCATTGTGATCATAAGTCTTGAATGTTACGTGAGCCACCCCACTACACACAAGGAATGTGCACGCCACATTAGATGTTTTTGTCAACCAACTTTCTTTTCCAATCCACCGCACAGACTAGTAGAGGTCTTGAGCTAACGAGGTGTATCGTGAAATTTTGTGTCTTCAGTAACATTATTTCAAAGTAACGAAAATATGGATTAGAAAAGATTTAAAATATTGATGTGAAATAATAGGGCTGAAAATCGGTGTTGTAGAACGAATTATCTAGTAAAAGGCTTTTTTTGCCAAAATTTTCACTCAATACAGCATCGTTTTCACGCTTTGTTTCACATCTACTGAATGTGCATTGATGTATATGTTCGCCAGGTTTGTTAACCATATACCATTTTTGAGTGTAGTTGATTGCTCACATTTTCATTGCACATAGCAGTCTTAACCCTTTTATTTACTGCCTTTTTCTTCGTAATGGTAGGGTATGTTGCGAAATATAACTTGTACGAAATGCTGAAAGAAAAAGATCGATAGAACTAGCTGAGAGACAGGCAAGACCAAGGACCCGGATGGTGTGGTGGTGAAGTGTACTGCTCCCTGGTAAGGACAACAGCGCGTGTTCGTTCTCCACAGCATACACCTGCGGTCCGGAGTTTTGCAAATATCTCAGCATTTCATACGCACATAGCAGTGTTGTGCATGTTGCTTGCATTCGTTGTGATACTGCTCTGTAGCACTTAGATAATCTTACTGCAGGACTCACGTTCAACTGGGGTGCTCTTCTGGGCTGGTCTGCTATTCAAGGGTCGCTTAGCATTGCGCCGGTCGCCCTCTATCTAGCCGCCCTTCAGTGGACTCTCATCTACGACACTATTTATGCACATCAGGTTATGCTGTACCATGTCACAAGTGTACTCCGATTTCACTGCTTTTCTTACATCAACTTCGTGAAAGAATCTTCATGAAATCCACGTTTTTAAGAGTTATGTGAAACTTCTGTCTGAATATATTGAATGTGTGAGAGGGTTTTTTTGGAATGTCTTGACTTGTATTATACACAGTCCTTTCGTCACCGCTCATTTTTTTCTCCCAATTTTATTTGGTTTTCAATTAGTTTTTGGTGTAGATGCAATGTGGGGTATCCTTTCTATTCCGAGATAGTTTTGTGTAACAGTTACCAAATGTTGCAGGATAAAGCAGATGACATAATGATAGGAGTGAAGTCTACTGCTTTACGATTCGGAGCTGCAACAAAGTATTGGCTAGGCGGCTTCACTAGTGTAACAGTTGCTGGTCTAGGAATTGCTGGATATTTAGCGGAGCAGACGTGGCCATATTATCTTGCTTTGGCTGGTACGAATATGTTTTCTTCTTTTTGTTTATCTGTGCCGAACTAGAACTAGAAGTATGACAATCATGTCATTATATATTTCCAGTCAACCTAGCTGTAATAAAATACAGACACAGCACCCGAAATGCGTTCAGTATAATGCATTTGATACGAATATAATGGCCATTTTCAATTTTAAATCAACGTTCATTTATTACAAATCATACCGAATTTTAGTGATATGCGATTTAAATCTAAAAATCTTTGCCTACAGCGCACAATCCACTTATCTAGTAAAATGAAATTCTGATCTTCCGAAACTCACAAGGCGTATTTCTCTTACATTTTTGCCTCAAGGCTTGTGTTCAGAATATGAAAGGGTTTGAACAAGTTAAAATTCATCTAGTAAGTGTACCTCTAATGCATTTCCAGTCGCGATCGCTCTAGAAAATTTTTAAGAAATCTTAACCTTAGTCCCAGTTTTTCTTGGGAACTTTGATACCAAAAACCGAAATTTGAAAGGATATTTTTTAAGTTGTGTTTGGAACGAAACCTTTCCTATAAATTTTTTTGTGGTCGAAGAATTATCGTCAGTTGTCGAAAGTACTTTTGGGCACTGTGAATTGTTCTGCACGGTGTTGGTTTTTCGACAACGGGATGCTCTTGGTCATACGAGATTTTTTCTCACATTTTACACGAGTCGTAACCACATCTATTTTACAGATCCCTCAACTTGTAGCATTCGATTCGTTTTTTCCTCGCATTCATCGTAAACAATGGTACGAACATTTCGCACGCTTTAAAGCTTGCTGGTCGACTGAATTCCTTTTGACATCTCGGAGATAGCCAGACTAAAGCATTCCCACGTGAATTGGAGGAGATCGTTAGGGTAGGCATCGAACTGGCGCCTTTGCTTCCTGATCAACGACATCTAATCACTGCACTCCACCGCCCACCGCTACATGATAATTTCAAAAGTTCAAAACTTACTAAACTTGGAAAAGGTTTCGCCCTATCGCGAAGCGCTATAATTATTTTTCAAAATATAGCGTTCATTTAACCAGATATTTGTTTGAAATTCAAGTTTTCGCGGGATCAAAAACGAAACGCATACGTTTAGTCTTCTACGCGAGCCAAAAAGATCAACGATATTACTGAGTAGTTGCAAATTCTAATGTTTTCTTTTCTAATCGAATAAGTTTACTGCGACCTGTGAAATTCTTGTTCTGATTTTGAAAGGTGCACTTTTAACCACATATTCTCATGTGACCCATGCCTTCAGGGTTCTGTTACCTCGGTACAATAACAACATCGTTTTTCAAATCAATTACTGGTAAAGCTTATCATTACTAATGATAAAAGGATAAGGCTTTCGGCGTTGATCAATCCTTGAGGGATGCACCATGCATTCGACTTCATTAAGCATCGTTAGAGGTGACTGAGTGCACATGTGGCCTTTACTCTCGGTGGCCTACCGATGTATCGAGCCAGTGCTACTGTCTTCTCAGACAAATCGGGTACCAATTTGCTGACGCCAGAGGGATGGAGGGTTTGGTGAGCCATGGGCAAGGGGATCGATCCCACTTATGTTACGGAGCGCCTTCGACCACTGCTCCACACACGTCCTTTTTACTAGTGATACACATTGTTATTGCGTAAAAGGCAATTTAGCAATGAAAATCTAAATTTCTCTCTTACGCTTCAGCAGGGTTCATAACTTATTTTTTTAAAAACAAATTTTAATGAGGAAGTAGTTGGTAGTTATTAAAAACAGCAACGGAATAGGGTCGTCATTGCAAAGATTTTTCATCTGACAGTGTGTTAGTAAAGTACAGTAAATCTCTTTTTTTCTACTAACTTCACCTGCAGTTCTTCCATATTTTTTACTAATCAGGATTCACTAGTTTTATTTTTTTACGCCGCGCGTACGTTATTCTCATGAAATAATCCAAAAAAAAAAGAAAATGGATTATAGTACTACAGGGAGAATGTAAACTCTTACGACGCACGTCCATAGTATTTTCTGAAATTGAAGCCGCGCATCTTTCTTTTTTCCTTTTTTTGAGAACACCAATTCGTTTGCTTTCCCAGTGATTAACTGACAATTCTGTTTTACATTACATTGTGCAGTCCAAAGAATTCTTGAATATTTCTTTTTTTCATAACATCAAGTTTTTGACGCGTCCAGTTATTTAAAAAGAGCTGAAGGAGTTAGAAGAGGTCATGCAGTTTCCAAAGTAGAAAGATTTTACTTGCAAAAGTCTATTTTAGGGTTTAATTAGCGTTTTCAATCATGAAATCTTTTCAGGTACAGCAGCACAGCTAACATGGCAGGTCGGAACTGTCAATATCGATGATACCAGTGACTGTTGGCGGAAGTTCAAATCCAACCAATGGATTGGAGCTGTTTTATTTACTGGAATAGTCGCCGGCACATTTTTAAAACAAAAGAGTGAAGAACAACATATGAAAATCGATGAAACAGATGAATTTTGATACCACAGTTTCATGTCTTCTTGAAAGTGCTGAGGGCAACAACTGGAGAACATCGTAAAGGCAGTTTTTTTAGAGTTAAAGCAAGGACCTTCTGCCGTATCGAAAATGTTGTATGAGCACAAGCAGGATCCAACAATCCAACAAATATGTACAATCTCGTACCTGATCACATTCGAAGGCATGAGAATTGAGAATGAAGAAAATCTGAGAGAAGTCCATTGCTAATAATCACTTCGCATCCACTGCGCACAACTTCGCAACTAGTCCTGAGAGTTGAAGAAGAGAAGAAAGTCCTTCGGTAATGCGCATGTGGCACAATCCAATTTCCTGTACGAAATTTTGATAAGTATCAAAATTCTTATATACTTGGATATAGCGTCCTGAAGAATCATGAAGACCCTATCAATTTCCACTTTACTGGTGTTTTTGATGGTTCTGCCAGTTTTCCCTATAGGTTTAAGACCGTATAATGGTATATGTTATGGAAGATTCAGTTACCACGCTGTTTTACTTTAAAAGAAATCAAACATTAAAGAAATAGAAAGTGGCAATTTTAACAATACCTTCATGAACTCCATCCGGACGTATTCGGGTATTGGAACTGTCTTTGACACCCGGAACATGTTAGAAACTATGTCTTCAGGAGAATATCCCATTCTAAAAAATTTCAACTCTCAGATGGAGTAATGACATAAGAGAACTGACAATAGCAAAATGATCTGTACGTTACGAGTTATTATCAGATATCGTAAACTAGGCATAAAGGCTATCAAGGTAGGACTTTGAAATATGCTGTAACCACAAGATAAAACGTACAGGTCGCTTGCAGCGAACATTTTATACATTTGAATTTTCAGCTAATCTGAAAAAACGAATAACTGGGTACAGATAAAGAATAAGAGCTCGGTACAGCATACTTCTCGAGCAGTTTGACTAGTTCGTAGATAAACGACAAATTTAGTCATGTTAAACAAAACGAACAACTAGAAGCGCGAACTCGTCTTTAGAAGGTAGGAAATCACGCAGAAATGGTCAAGCTGCAGAACGGGAAGCTGGCGAAGAACGTGTTCCACTGCAGCCATTTAAATAACCCTTAGTACTTCATTAGAAAGTATCCAGAAAATGAACAAGCTTCGAGACGAGAATGTCGTAGAACAAAAATTAGGCGCTCTTGCTTAGAAGACAAGGCTGTATGTATAGGATTATCAAAGAAAGGATTAGCAGAAACAAGGACGTCACCTCTAAGGGTGTCTAACGCCACCAAACTAACAGTTTTGTATTAGCTGGCTCATGTGCTGTATCGATCTACAAACAGCAGCAGTTTCCTTTCTGGAGCTACTGTTGGCTTAATGAAAAAAAAAAGGAACAGTTAGCAGTAAGGATAACTGACTGAAGAAAATCAGTAAGTCACCAAATGCCTTAGAAGTACTCCTCTTGGAAGATGTCTCGTAGTCAGATAACATCTATACGGATGAAATCACGATTCTTAAGACGATTTCAGTTAGTTAATCTGATAGTAAAACAATCGCAACGGGAAGCCGTCACAAAGTCACGGTTTCTAAAAGAAGTAATAGTCCGAGGAGGAATTGCTGAAAACCATAAAACTCATTCCCTTTTTATAAACAAGGATGATGAAATCAACTCTGAACTCTACCATGATAGTTCTCAAGATGGTAGTCTTTACTTCGAAACAAAGTCGCAGTTTAGAAGAAGCGCAGTTCTTAGACAGGAAATAATGCCGGCGTGTGGAGTGAAAATAGCGAAAAAAAAACGGAAGAATCTCAGGTAGCAAGAATACAGTGGTAAAGAAAAGTTGTGAAGCTGCTACACCATAGGAACTAAAGCAAGGCACTATCTAAGAATCACAAATGCAAAATAACTAAGGAACAACTGGTTCTGGGACGAGGTGAAGTTGCTCTGGAAGAAAGGAAAACGTGCAGTTTTGCAGGTCGTTCCAATTACGATGAGATTCGTGGGTAATGATTGTTATGGTAGCGTAGACAATATGGAAGATGGGCCACAGAAGCGATGAACCTTGAACAGCTAAACAGCCACAAATAGTAAAACAAAAATGATGGAGGAACCTCATTACAGATGACGGCAAGATAGTGGTAGCGTCTAGTAAAAAAAAGCACATTTAACTAGAATAACGACCTGTAAAAATCGTGAATGATTGCAGCGGCATCCCTAAAATTCTGTTCAGCACACAGGGTCAGCATATTCGCCATAAGCTGGGGATGTGGCTCATCGCATACCTACAAGATTACTTTTGAGTAGAAGAAGCTCCCCCCAACGAGGTGCTCACCTTCAGAACGTTTTCAGCTGAAACGTATTCGTAGGCAGACACCGTGCACTGGAGATTGTTCAGTGCCTGCATTGATTCATATTTGATAAAGTATTTAGAGGTAATCCTCTACATCTTCCATTTAAAACTATGGAGCTTTCACCTGGCGCATATCTCCCTGAGCAGTGAAAAGGAGCGCATTCAAGCCTTCGTCATCATAACTAACCTAGAAATACTTGGATTAAGATTGCCTTGCTCACATAACCAGATAAAACAAAGGATTAGGAGGGTTTCACACTTTTACCTAAACGTAAATGACCGCGTGCAGCGCAGTGGTCGGGGGCGCCCTGCAATGCACATAGGATCAATCCCCGCGCCCAAGGCTCACCAAGCCTTCCATACCTCCAGGATCGGCAAATTGGTGCCAGATCCTTTCTGGGAGGAGAGCAGCACAGCCTTGATACATGCATAGGCTCCCATGGGTCATTGTAAAGGCCAGATTTGCATTCAATCACCGCTAACGATGCTTAATGAAAACGAATTCATGGCGCATCCCTCAGGATTAACGCCGAGAGCTTCATCCTTTAATCCATTACCTAAATGTTATTCAGCGAAACTACAAAGTAAACACGGAGAATAAAATTTGATGTGTGGATGATTCCAAGTCAAGTTTTGATGACATACTGACATTTTCTGCTTTGCATACTTCTTCGAGCCTACATGCTATTTGTGCATCAGACAGTTTGTGGAAGCGCAGAATGGCACAGCGTGATTGGATGGGCTCTGAAAACAAGTCTAGCAATGTTTCATTTTATAAAATAAAATGATCACCAATAAACAGCAAATGAGGGACTTCTCATCTAAAATTCAAAACTCTCGTTATTTGCAAGTTATGAAATAGGAAGCTTCTCAACAGTTTACCTCAACGTGGCTAGGTGTTCCTGGGTGTCGGGTTGCGATGCAAAGCGGTGGGGTTCATCCCACAAGCAGGGTCTGTCAAGCTGAGAAGGAGGCCGGCGTTTCCAACAGGAAACTCAGCTAAGAGTAAACCAAACCTAGGATCCACCACCGTCCTGGTATCAACCTAGACGCATGGTGGCAAGCCATCTTCTGATCCACAAGGGCTGCTGCTGTCTGTGGTGGTGACCCTGGGGCTGACTTTGGCTAAGCTGGCCTCGGCACTCGAGGCAACAACAGTGACTAAAGCAGCAAGTGTAAGTTATGCTAGAGCCCATACAACAAGCGAGGACGGGCCATCCAAGGAAAATACAATGACGGAATGCGGATAGTGGTCGCCGGTAATATGCACAAGGCTCTGGTTCAACACAGCACTCTGCCGACCAGGTCACCCATATTTCCGAGGTCAAGAAATTCGCAACACTTATCTAGAAGACTCCCTTTGATCCAGGAAGGCTAGTCGCTGCTTCTGATGATCTGGGAACGTCCTAGCACGGTTGCATGAGTATTGTAGGAGGGATCAACTTGACCAGCGTTCAGTGGCAGTCACAAAGATGACCAAAACACTCATGAAATAGGAAGCCGAATCCACATACAATTCTAAAGACCTTCGTGAATGATGAGTTTAGGCAATGAATCAAATGAAGGATTCGCTCGATTCTGCACAATCTTTGATGCCGAATCATGTAGAAAAGACGACAAAAAAGCAATTTGCCAAAAAAAAACCTTGGGTAGTCATAGAAGAATTCATTGCGGGTCAACATATCTCACTGACAGAGGTTCCGTGAAAAAACCAGTGTAGAAAAAAGACTGGAAAGTAAAGGCACCGATAATTTTATCCGACTGATTGCACGCCAAAGCAAATCGCGTCGTATCGCTGTAATTTTCCATAATACGTCGCAAAGCCTAAAAAAACAATTAAAACCATAGAATCCTCCTCCCTTACATAACCCTACACTACAAATCGATACTTTATTAATCGAAGAGACCACCATAACAATTTGTGCTCCAAAAAGTGTCTGATATTGTGTGGGAAATACCTGCTGTGCGCCTTCGGTCATCGAATCAGCTTCATCTAGAATTATTAGTTTATGACGCTTTGAAGGAAGAGTGACTTTAGTTTGACAAAACGTCTTTATCTTGTTCCGTACAACGTCTATCCCGCTGAAAAAGAAAGAAATGATCTGCTGACAAAAACTGAAAAATCGTAGGCACAACCACAACTATGCTGAGATATTCGCCAAACTTGCACCCCTGGCCAGATTGAATCATGATTGTCCTTTTCGGGAGCTTACATATTACACACTGATCCGCTGAGGTCCCTAATTTGCGTTTCTCTTAGCTAGTTTTCTACCTAACGCTGACATCAATAGAATTATGCAGAATCGAAATTACAGTAGGCAGAAAATAAAAGATTAACACACTTATAATCACAATTTGTAAAGAATCGCAAAATGGGGCCCTACTGGGCAGACGGGGCAAGATCGGAATCCGAAGAGAAACTGCAAACTGAAACCCACCGATCGTCGGAAGCATTCAGCTCCAAAACGGCATCTTTCACGTATTCGTTCAAGTATTCCTTCGCCATAGCCCAAATAGCTGTTGTTTTTCCACAACCAGGAGGACCCTTAAAGGTTTCAGATTTGCCCTTTTGTTAGCTGCCTTACATAACGACAAACTTAGATGCTAACACTACGAAACAAAGATTTACGTATGGCTTACCGACATTATGAAGTGTGGTGGGTTTCCATTCTCGATGAAAAATCCAAGAGAGTGAATGATCTCTTCATTTCCAACCACTTCTTCTAATTTCTGAGGTCGATACTTCTCAACCCATGGTACTGTGTCCTTGTTCGACATGATATCAATACAGGAGCTCTGAAAGGAAGATGGACCATGATGGACCTGATGGACCACTACTGAGGAAGACGACAAATAACCAGCACTCCGCATTAAAACAAAACAGCAATTTCATGAGCAAAGTTTACTCTCCGGACCAGAAAACAGATCAACGTGCAGAATCTGAAGCGGTCTTGCAAAAAGGAGGAAGAGCTCAAGCCACTGGGGCACATCGAATGGATCACCACTGGATCTCATTTTCCAGAAGTGCGAGACGTAAAGTACAACGAGCTTCGAAGAATGCAGCCAAGGCTGAACCTCTACAACAATCGGTTGTACTAGTTAGTGCCCTGGAATACTCAGGCAGCCATGAGCAAACCCATTAGTCCTGCCGATAAGAACAAGAACAGATAGCACGCGCCTGAACCAAACACTCGGAAATCGGTGCTACTCGCTCTTTCGAATCAAGCGAATGTTTTGTCATCTCGCTGAACAGCGCGATCCATTAGAAACATAACAGAAGGAAAAGAATAAGACAGACATTGAATGCAGTTATGATAAGGCCAACCAGAAATCAGATCAGCGAGACCAAACGAGCTGTTCAACCATCATGGAACTAACTACATAGCTAAGACTCGAAAAGAGTCACTCCCACTACCTAATCTCATGAAACAACATGAAGTGCCCACTATCCGGATACGCAGGAGGCATGGTACTCAGGTCTCAGTCAAAGTACTCAATTGTTAGGAAAAAGAACTTTTGTGAGCGTCCCAGCTCTCTTAGCCTCTTTTTGTATCTCGAACGGCTTTGCCGCGCTGCATCAACGTTGCTCCGTTGCGAATATCTGCTCCACGATCCCACTCAAGCGATCGCTCAACGTCGCAGACGACTCGCCCTCATGGTTATCCCGCGTACCGTGAGGAGTGCAGCTAGATCGAAGTAGATACTCTAAAGGAAGTTGTTTTAGAACGTCCTTTAAAGTCTTTGCATCCGAATCGCAAGAGTTCGTGAGTCTCTCGGGTGAGGGTATCAGTCCTTTGCGTGTTACGTACAGAGAAAGTCGTTCTCTTTGATGAAATACTGCGGTAGTTGTGTTCAATGACAGCTGAATTTACTCAAAGGCAGGAATGCCACCTTGTCAGCTCGCCACCAATGGTGGCTCATTCATAACCCGTTTCTCTTCGCTGCTTTCTTCTCTTCGCTTGCAATCTTTGTCCGTTTCCATTTTTCGTTGTCGTAGCTTATTCCATTCGCTCCTGTTCATGTAGCCGTAATTCTTCATATAGGGCACTCATATTCTCCTCAAATGGTGTCTTTTCACTCGCTAGAGACGTTCTTGGCACAACATGTTTCGTGTAGAAATTATTTGACTTTAACTAGCCCTTTTTAGGACATAACTAGTCTTGTTTTTTTTCAGGGGTTAACTAGTCCGTTTTGTTCCTTAGGGCTTTACGTCGTGTTTAATGGTCGACAAAATGAGTTCGTACTCGAATAGCACCACGGGTAGACGACGGTTAATCACAAAAACGGATGCTGAAGAGAAAGCGTTGGACAAGATTTCTCGTGAAGTAGGTTCATTTTTGAGATGTATCATACAACTCCTATATTTTTGGAGATACTGAGCTAGTTCAATGTGAAATATCTATGTGTTTTGTTCCTGGAAAGTTTTTTGTTGAAGGCTGAAGCAAGGATGCGAGTGAAACGCGAAACTCGCGAACAAGCCCGACAACATCGATACAGTCTTCTTGAGAAACGTGTCGAGGTAAGGACTGCTTTTGTGATGCTTCAGGGCATTCCTTGTCAAGTCGTACTAGTCGTGTTTCAGGAAGAAGCTGAGGTCTATCGACAAGACGCGGCGGTGAGTGGATTAGTAAATGTCTGTCATTGAGGTCACATAGATCCTAATGCTGAATTCTGAAACCGTTTGCTTTTGTGCACAACTTGCAATTTAGTTCATTCTTTTCGATTTTTTTCAAAATTAAAGAGATTGAAACTAAGCGGATGTTATTGGTATATTACTTGGTTGGCATGGTTTTCTATTAACATAAATTAACACTAACGATCTCGATGGATTTCCAGTCAACTTGGAATGGGCTTCGGAATTGCGTCGAGGGCAGCGCAACACTTCAGGTTTGTGAATGCACTTCGAAACAATCTATTCTATTTGTCACTCTGAGGGACAATCTTGACTCCCATTAGTGTTCTTAGCTAGCATAGAACGTTGTATATATGTGTGTATCAACATGTTTTAAATTGTTCAGCTTACACAAGGTTGATAAACAGCGTTTATTCGGCTAACGTTTCGACGTCCTCGTTTTCATCAGAGCTCATGATCCATGTAGATGCTCCACAGTTGTTTTTCTTCTCGAGTTATCGGCTCGGATGAAGACGAGAACGTCGAAATGTTAGCCAAATAAAAGTTGTTTATCAACCTCGTGCAGGCTCAACAATTTAAAACATGTTGATTATTTTACTAACGAGGCTAAATGACGGTTTGTTTGAAAATTGTGTTTACAAGTAGTGCTCTAACCTGTTTTGCATGAAGATTAGACCTTTAATTGTGAGTGTGCTTATTTGATGTGTTACTTCGAAATAGGGATCTCAACTTTTTGTCTGCCTCTGATGAAGTGTACACTTGGGTTTTAGGACAAGGTTGTTGAGTTAGAGGATCGCTTTCAACAGGCGATGTTCCTGTATTCCCAGTTGGATAACGAAAAGTCGGCGTTGTTATACGAAGTAAGCCGTTTTCCTCTCAATACTATCACCACTTTCAGTTTTCTATTAATACTTTGGCTTAGGTTGATTTACTGAAGGACGATATCGAAGAAAAAGAAGTTCTTCTCCAACAATCAAATCGAGAGTGTCGTGACTTGACAAGTGTACTGTTTCTTCTATTAGGAACAATTTCATGCACTTCTCCTCTGAACTGTATTTTTTAGGAGGTAAAGCTGTTGAAAAGGACGATCGAGGCTATGACAGCCACTCAAAACTACTTAAAAGCAGAAATTGCGCAGCGAGATCATTTGATTCATGTGAGTTTAAGTGCTCAATTCCTCAGTCTGTAGAAGGTATATCTCATTTATAGCCCTTCTTATCAGCTCACGGGGAACGTTCTATTTATATTTAAAGTAATTTTTGTATGAAAGTAGAGGGCAGTTGAAAATTTCTAGTCTAGACATGTTCAGTGCTTTTATTTAAAAGAATACTCTGTATTACTCTTTTGCTTCTGCCAAGAAGTGCAAGGCAACTCCAGCTTTGTTCGTTCTCAATAATTCGTCCTCTTTAAGCTGTTCTTTAAAACACTAAACCGGTGTAATCTTAGGAGTTTTTGGTGTTATCGGATGTGCTAGTGGAAGATCTAAGATAAATCCAAAGAAATTGTCCATTGATATTTGTTGTGTTTCCTTCCACCTTAGAACACTAATATATGTAGATGATACTGTATTTCCAGTTACTAGAAATGTGTTATAAAGTATATGTGAGAAAAATGGAAATATGGAAAAGTCTACTGTGGAGCTTGAGAAAAAATATCCTATTGTAGTCGTGAAAGTAGTGATTCTCATTCGGATGCTTTGAGTGTTTGCTCTAATTACATGAAGAACTAACTTTTCACTCTATCGAAATCACTTAAAAAATTAAACCTTTTCATTCGTAAGATGCTGCGTAGTACCTGCTACGAAAATTTGCTTTTTTCATCTTATTTCTATTATTATTGTTGCCTTTATCAACAACACTGGTTATTCTATTCGCTATCGTTATTGATATTTTTTTTTACATTATCTCTCATCGCACATGCTGTGCGGATCTCAGCGCTTCTTGCATTACGTTCGTTTTTCTCGCATTCATTGTACACTAAGATCGTCGAACATTTCGCTTGTTTCAGCTGATGCTTAAAGATTCCGTCTTCTTTATGAATGTTGTACAATGCTAATAGACTCAATTGTCCTTGTAATCTTGAAAATAGCCGACCTAAGACGTTCTCACGTGAATTCGGCAGAAGCATTAGAAGGTGGTCGTAGCAGCATTTTGCTACCTAATGGACTGCATCACTAGCCATTATGTTGCGATTTTTTCCCAATCATTGTTATTGTAATTATTACTACCATTGTTATTATTCGTCTAGGGTGCGTAATGCGAGGGTTAGAAGTAATTTGCAACAGACGTGTGGTCTTAACTCTTTTATTTACTGCCTTTTTCTTCTTAATGGCAGGTTATGTTGCGAAATATAACTCGTATGAAATGCTGAGATATTTGCAAAACTCCGGACCACAAGTGCGCTGCTCCCCGGTAAGGACAACAGCGCGTGTTCGTTCTCCATTGCATACACCTGTGGTCCGGAGTTTTGCAAATATCTCAGTATTTCATACGAGACGCGTGGTCGTTGGTTCTATCCCGTGCCTAGTCCTCACCAAGACTTCCATCCCTCTGGGATCGACACGTAGGCACCAGACATATATGAGAAGATAGCGGTGCTGACGTTATAGATTGGCGGAGCAGCGAAAGTCGTTGTTTAGACCAGATATGCATAAAATCTACCCTAATGATGCTCGATAAAATCGAGTGCACAGCACATGGCTTAGGGATTCGTCAAGGTTGAAAGCTTTAAGCTTTATTATTATTGAGCTGTGTCACCTATCGCTCTATTGATCGTCGAGTGATTCAACAGACCAGTAGATTTTCCATTCGTTCTTGTTGCTTGAGAGAGTAGTCCAATGAGTTCTCTTTGCTCTAGGGACTCGCTGAATATCATATATTTTCTTATTAACTCAAAAGACCGACTTCCTGTAAACCTCAGCATGAATAGTCAATGTTTATTTGTATGTTCTTATGAACTGATATTGTTGAGCTCATATGAGGTTGGTATGGCTGTCGTTGTTGTAGTTGTAGTTGTTGTCGTTGTTTTTGTTGTTGTTGCTGTTGTTCGATGGCTGACGTTTCGGCTAGAGCCGTGCCGTTACGAGTAATAATATCCTTCGACAAACATCGTGTAGTTTTTGGTCTGGTTTTTAGTTATTTGCTTTTTATATGAAGAGAGGATTTTATTGAGAATATTCTCGGTATTCACGAATTGGTTGGTTTTTCTTGGACAACGACCACCCTATGGCTGGATCGAATTTTCGCACGAAAGTGGTGATTATGTTCAGTATGAAATCGAGGTACCACCTGAGGTCTCAAAGAAGCACGATTTACTGCTCGTGTGAAAATGGCCGATCTCCGCATGAATCGTGCCGTTGGGAGACTTCCATGTCTATCGACGATTCGCTTCTCGAGAAAATGTATTCCCATGGAAGACAGATGCTGTGAACAGAAGTCCTACAAAATGGATTCCATTTCCAACTCGTTATCCTATTCTAAATTTTTCTATCCTGTATTCGTTTTCGCTGGTTGTTCATAATTGGACGTTGAAGTTTCCAAGAACGAATTTATAGGACTTCTCGCTTTGATTTGCTTTCTCCAACTGGTTTTAGAACGCGTCCAACTCGCGTTTATCAACTGTACAAGCTGATAAGTAGCACTTGGTGATATGACTATCATTTGACGCAGAAGTTAGGAGCGAAGAACGGGCAGATGTGGTTACAGGACTTCGTATAAGATGACTGTAAGGGAAAAGATGGGTTTACGACGAAGGCCACGCACCTGACATTTCGTAACGGAAATTTTCTCTCATAAGGTGCCGTCATCTAGTTGATGTGTGTCAGTCTTCTTGCTTTCATCTCTTCCAGGGCGATGGCATGGAATTGAATACGATCAGCAGCGTCAGGAAAAGCGTGGAAGTCGGCGTCTGAATAGACTGTTTTAATATTATAAGTGCGGAGCAAGAAGCAATCCCCTCCCCCATTACGCTTCCTGCGTTACATGTATACACATGTACATATGCATAAACATATACATATACCCATACATATACATACTTGATTTTCGTTTGCTGGTTAAGCCATTGTGGTTCCCTGGAATCCCGAGTCTGGCCAAAGTCTGCCTCAGGTCGTCACCACCCCAGGCAGTCGCCGTCTTTGTGGATTAAAAGATTTTCACCATGCGCCTAATTTGATTCTAGGACGGTGACATTTCCTGGTATTGGTTTTCTGAAAACTGGGCTGAATAGACTTCTGAATGGAAATACCGGACTCCTTCTCACCTTGGGAAACCTTGCTCGATGAAAGATGCAGGAATGCCTCCTATCCACGGTTAGGTGGCGAATCGTTGGAACGCTTCGCCTTGTCGTTTTAAGAATATGCATATTTTTTTCTAAAATAACACGAAGACTCACTTCGCATGACGTAGCCGCTGTGGACATTCGACAATCACTACTGCTTTGAAAGAGGTGGAAGCCCAAAACGTTAACTACAATAGAAGTTTTGATAACAAGCTTGTGTAGAGGTTGCTCAGTGAAATTTCATTTTTTGAAAGCATTTTTGTTTGATATCCCCTGACAAAAGTTGAAATGTAAATGATTAAAAGAATTTTCGGCTTTTTTTCCGCAAGTGAGGCCTACATTGACGGTCATTTTGGGAACACTATTGTGTCATGCTTGAAGAAATACGCCTTGTTAAACGGATTTAATTAACGAAATTCTAGCCTTAATGAAAGGGAACTAGAAATTATTCGTGGACTTTGGGAAACCCAAATTTCAAGTTGATAAGGTTAGAAAGCTTCTATCATGCCGGCAAACATTCCAGATTTGTTTGTTAAAAGTTGAAAGACTTTCGGCTGATTATGCACTAAAACCATTTTATATGTTCATGAATGGTGTTGAATTTGATACGTAAAAATTGAGTGCTGTGTCGATGTTACACTTCTGAGATGGCTTGCTAGATTTAATTTTGCTATTGAGTTCATCGCTTATCGGTTCTAAGTTGTTATTTTTTGTTATAATCGCTTATATTGATATCGCTTGATTGTAAAGAGTTATAACCCTCTGGTCTCCCTGTTTTGCTCTTGACATTCGGTAGGATACAGCTGCTAATGGCTCCTTGTCAACCGGTTGTCGTTGAGGCACACCATCTGCCTTTCCTTCCTGCTCTTCAACATCTTGGTGTACATGGCGACGCCTTTGTTCCTTGATGGTCAGCATATGTTGGAGCTCCTGATATCCTTCTTACCTGCAGAGCAGACAATACACACCATCTCCCTATCGATAACGTTGTGAGTCCTTTCTTCCTGGTTACGTAGCGCTCAAGTTTCTAGAATATACTCTGAGGAAGGAAAAGTTTGTCGAAAACGTGGACACGAAGCCAGTTGTTCCTTTTTCTCTTAGTTACCTTTTTGATATAAGCTTCATAGCTTCTCTTTTTTTCCTTACTAACAGTTGAGCGGTATTGGCATCCGGATACAGGTAAATCTTATTTCGTGGAAATAATTCGTTCAGTGAGGTGCTAGAAAGGAATCCATTTCTCATGTACGTCCACAAATGCTGTTGAAATGGGATGCTTTCGTTCCGCTTGGCCACTGTTGGTGTTGTACGGAAGATGTCGTAAGCAAAATCAAGATATGCAGTTGCATACTAACTTTCATTCTTATTCAATCCAATTTTCATATGGGATTATTGATGTTTGCCGCAAATAATTTTATGACTCCATGGTATCCTTTTGTTCAGTTACTCTATGCAAGTGATAATATATAAAATGATGAGTTTTTGGTTGCGAAATTTTTGCTTAACTTATAAAAAGTTTAGGTGTACTAAACTGGAAGGCCGCGATTGGCCAGAGTCTTCATGACCACCTCTGTCTCAGTTTAGTCGAAAGATTTCGTAATTCGAAAATGTGAGGCACACTGGTCTCACGATGCTTCAGTCAACTTTGTAGTGTGATTCAGTTCTGCTGGAGTGAACAGACGACGTATTAGGCAGGTTGGACGCTAGTTTAGGATATCATACAGGTTCCTCTTTCTCCTTAAAAACGCGGTCGTGTTGTGCTTATGTATATTTGGAATCTAGGAGTTTGACACGTGATAAGTAGAAGGACGCGACATGTTAAATAATCTTCGAGCGTTCGGTGGACTAGTCGCAGGGTTTATCGCCATTCTCGTTTGTCAAGGAAATATGATGTACGAAACACGAGACTTCCAATCTCTGAAGACTAAGAGATGCTTGTGATGATGGCCTGAGAGGGCTCTAGCACTGTTATTATCGTGTAAAAGAAAAAGATTAAAAATCCTCAAGTCACAGTCGAGTCTACAAAAAATCCAATTGAAATGAGTGGAGACGTTGAAGTCTGCAGGGCATAGTTTTCATTGGTTATTGGCATTTGACGTAACAGCAACCGTGCTAGTGTGCTAGTTTTCGAACGTTGGTCAGGGAAAGCCTTTGATAACTTACCATATGGTATTGTTAGGATACTCCCCGTTGAGAATTGTACTTCCTTTTAACTCATTACAACTACTTGAGTTCTGTAGTGGTAATTCGTCATGGAGCATTGTACTTGGTATGTCTTGCATGAAGGTCATTTTGTTTTCGTTAGTTTATCTTGGTGCACAGTTTAAATTTTTTCACTTCTTGCAATCAAGTGATAGTTTATCCAACACATCTTGCAGCATCGCTCATACATGGAAAGCTCTTCCCTTTACTTACAAATGTGCAAAAACCTTTCTTTAGCCGAGTTCATTTCGTGGGCAAGCAACAGTTGCTAGTTTACGTCAGTCTGGTTTTATGACAAGTTCTTGAGCCGTTTTGAGTGCATCATCCTCAGTTAACGTTTTCAAATGGCCATTGTCGATTGCAGTAGATCGTCTCTGACTTCCTCATCGTCATATGCTTCGTTGCAGTGGCGAAATTTTTGAGAACAACGCTGTCCCTTACAGTAATTAACATCGTCGTCACATCCAAAATCAAACCCATAAAGAATTCCCAAGACCGACTTTCTGTTTCTGTCTCGGCATTGATTGATAACTCGATGTTTTTCTTCAATAAGCAGACACGAGACTGTTATTATAGAATTTATTGGGATACAATAGCTGACGTTCCAGCTGTTTCGCCTTCTTCAGAGCCGTTTATTTGTTGTAAGTATTTAAGTTAGTTGGTGGATAGCAGCCGCACAGAGTAATACATGGACGAACAAATAAACGGCTCTGAAGAAGGGGAAACCGCCGAAACGTTAGCTATTGTATTCTAATAAATTTTATAATAACAAACTCGTGTCTGCTTATTGAAGAAAAATATCGAACCATAAAAGAATTGCTGGAATTTGTTTTTATTGACTTTCGGTTCACCAGTAGAATTTCTGTTGGTCGAAGAACTCGGGTCTGTTACATCATCGTCCCCTTATCGGTCCGTCGAGGTCTTAAGAATCAGTGTTCCTTTAAAAAACTCAGGTCATTAAGGGTAGGATCTCCTATTGATTTAGGCGGACCAGCAAAAGGCATACAGTGACACAAGCTTGTTCATATTATTCAGTTCTTGACATCTAAATATCAGATACCTTACTTCTCTTTAGGTGTGGATATCGGGGCGCGTGTAGCGCAGTTAAAGGCACCCTGTAATACATATAGGTTCAATCGCGCGCAACAGGCTCACCAAGCCTTCCTTCCCTTCCTGGTCGGCAAATTGGTACCAGATATGTCTGGGAGGATAGCACTGACTCGAAACATCGGTACACCGCGGCGAGTTATTGCATAGGCCCCACAGGCATTCAGTCACCTTTAACGATGTTTAATGAAGTCGAATGCATGCGCATCCCACAGCGATTTATCAACACCGAGAGTTTTATCTCTTTTTCCTTTTGTAGCACAAGTGGCAAATCGTACACCTTTATGTTGTTTCCACTAAAGGTTCAAAAAATAAAGCACAAAATCTCTTGACTTCGACATGATTCCTCTGGTTTACACTTTTTTTCATGGTTCCTACTCTTTTTTTGGTGTAAATCTGTGTTAAATTTCAATCGATATTCATATTTGATAACTGAAGTTAAGATACTTGTTCTTATGTACTCGATAAAGTTGTATGTTTCAGACAACTTACATAGTTGTTTTGACAATTAATAAACTCGAGGACAGATTAATTGAGAAGACTTATCAAGTCGTTTTAAGTCACTTTACACGGATCTATAAATTTTAATGATCTTTATTTCATCTAAGAAGATTCACTATGAGCTAAGATATGTATACTTGATTTTAAAATGCCAAATTACTTTCCGCCTAATATGTACTGAAATTAAAGCCTATCCTTGTTGATATATTTTAGAGTTCTATTTCCCGTTGTCGCCTATGCATCAAGATATGCTTTATTCGTCTTTGTGATTATAATGTAGAAGATGGTCGAGTTTACACGAGACATATCGCAAATTTGGATCGACGATTAAGTAGCACAGGGAGGATAGTACAGTGGTAGTGATGTCGGTCATCACGAGCATAGTGCTGGTTCAATTCCGCACCGGGCCAACCAAGCCTCTCATCCGTTCGGGTCGGGAAATTGCTACCGGACTTGTCCGGGAAAACCATTCTCCGCAATCTAATTGGGAGCGCTCTAGCACGGTTATCTCAGGGCTCCAAGGAGAAACGACTTGACCAGTATTCTACGACATTCAAGATCATATGAAAATCCTCAAGTAGTAGCCGACACCACACATAAAAGTTGGAAGATATTCGTGATGATAATGGTTGGCAGGAAACGAATCGAATGTGAGAAGTACTGGGATACGCACAGTGGACATGAAGATGGCTCATATAAAAAAATAAAAAGAAAATTAAATATCAACTTCAAATCAGGCTGTCGCAAGCAAGCAACAATTGTATGGAGGTTCTAGTAATCTTTCTTTAGATTACCTCATTCTTATTGAAAGTGTATCGACTGTGCTTTTCCATCTGTTATCTTTGTTATTACTTCACTGGTTCATTCTTTAATTTCTTATTTTATTCTGCACGACTGGGCATGACCTATTGTATAACACTTCTTTCGCTCGATTCATTTCATGTCAACAATTGTGCTCGAGATCCTAGGACTTCCATGTGAGTTTTGTCTTCTTTACGAATGTAAGGTCGTTCCGAAATCTTCACTACAGGTTGTCGGCAATTTTCGTGGATTAATGGAGAGCCACATGATTTTTGACAAATCTAGTACCAACTTCCCGACCTCGGATGGATGAGAGACTTGGTGGGCCTGGTGAGAGATTGAGCTATCGACCTATCGTTTTGTTCGTACTGAAGGGATTCGCTCCCAACGGTTTGCCGCCTCATAGGTGGGAGGTGTTCCTGAGTGTCAGGCTGCGATGTGAAGCGGAAGGACTCATCTCCCCATCAAGGTCTCCTAAGCTGAGAAGGAGACCAACTTTTCAATCGGGAAGCCCAGCTAGGAGTAAACCGATACCAGGATCCACCACCGTCCTGGTATCAAACTAGTCGCATGGTGGTAAACCTTCCTCTGATCCACAATGGCAGCGAGCGAGTCTCTGCAGAATGGAAATTAGACTGAGGACAGCACAACCATTGAAGACAGGCCATCTAAATAAGAAGGGCATCACTACCACTGCGCCACCTTCTCGCTGTCTATTACTACTTTACTTTGAATGAATACGCATCAAGTCGTCGGGGTTGATGATGAATCTTCAAGCCAGTCTTCTAGAGGTTTTCGTGTAATTTTTTGCATTTGGTGTTTTGGAAGGTATTCTCTATGTTTTATCTAATTGTTCTCGTAAGTCGCTGTCTACATCAATCTCTATCGTCCTAGATAAGGTCCAAAATTTATGAATGTTAAATCGCTCACTACAGGTATCTTTCCTGATTGATTTCTAATCTTATGTTGCTACTATATTGATGGATAATTTTTTAAAAATATTTTAGGGACATTTGTAGAGCTATAATGCAGAGAAGCTTTGTATCTAATAGCGTTCCAAATTATTGGTGCGTTGCTGATGATCGCTAGTTGTCAGTTTAAACGTTTCTATTTCAGGAAAATGGTCTTGTTGTGGTGGAGCAGGAAGCAGATGAGTCGTCTCAAGTGTCTGGAGAGAGCAGCGGGTCTTCCATTAGCATGTAAGGTGTCTCTCATGCTTTTTATATTACAAATCTAGTTGAAGGGATAAGCGTGTTCTCACAGCTGTTTTCGTGCCAGCCAGTGAGATCTATTCGCAAACTATAGTGTGGTAACAGTAACAATAATACTCAGTTCATGTTAACCGTCATGGGCAGCATCGCTCGTTGTAGTTAATGTCAACTGAGGAGTGACTTGTTGTTGATTTTACAAACGAAGGAAAACACGTTAAGTTGTACACAGTCAAAATGTCGAATGGTTTTTTTTCTAGCAACATCTTGTGTTTACTTCAGAAAACCAGGGTTGTTATTATTTTCTGCCGAAACTATCAAGCTAGTCGAACGTGCTGTTCCTGGGTCGTCAAGTCTCGATCAGAAAGTTAGGAAACTTGTTGAGACGGTATGTTGGGCGTTTTTTAAAACAGAATTTTGTTGCTTATTTTATTACCAATAGCAAAACGCTTTTTTAATGTTATATATTCTGTATTACTAATCGGGAACTCCAGTCATCTTTCGTCAGGAATGTTTACCGAGTCGTTGTTCTTTTACATTATAATTTAGCACTGGTGATAATTAGTAAAATGGTCGAATATTCGAGATCTACATATATCGCACGGGTGCATGTAGAGCAGTAGTTAGAAGTACCACGCCACATATAGTTGGTCATTGATTCGATCCCATGCCTCGGTCTAACCAATCCCTCTTAGGTCCCTCAAGTCACTATATAGATCAAGCGTGAACTGGATCACCTCAACGACTGTTAATGGAGCCGAATGGATGGGGCATACCTAAGAGATTAATCGATGCGCTTGGAGTTTTTTGTTTATGCTTGTACACACATGCATAAACATATGTACATGTATATATATATATATATATACATATTTATGCACATACATCACCCGTCGTCCCGCTAGTCATCGAATGACCCGAGCGGGAGTCAGTAAATCATCCACTTTTCCCTGTCATGTGGAAGAGTGGCCCAGTGGATTCTGCTCGCTCTACGGACTTGTTGAGCATTATACCTTTTTTCTAGGTTTTTCGCGAAGAATTCTAACCGTCGGGTTGGTGGGCTTCCTGAAGTACGTTTAGCATCCCGAGAAATCCAGTTATTGACAGCCCTCGTCTATCGGTTGTCGTTCCTACGCAATACATGTCTGGTTCATCTTCGACAAATTGTTGTATACAACGGTGTCTTTGATCGCCGACATAGGTCGGAGCATCGGATCCCTTCCTCTATGGCAAATGGTACACGTAGAATCATCCTTTCGACTGCGCATTCAATAACGGTGAGTGTTCTTTATCCTGCTTACGCAGTGACCTGGTTTCTGACGCGTACGTTAAGGCAGGGAGGACGGTGGAGTCGAAAAGGTGGGTGTGCAGAGTCTGATGTTTTTGTTCTGTTCACTACATCCTCAATACTCTTGAAAGCTCTCCAAGCCGTTCATTTCCTTCTGCTCAACCTAGATAGACGTAACTGGAGCACTCGGAGTTATTCATTCCGTTGAGCGTGAATGGGGCATGCAAAACCAATCTGTTCCTCGTGAACATCGTTTTTGTGAGATTTAATCAAAGGTTAATCTTTCCACATTTTATATTAAAATGGGCAAGCATTCGTTCCGCTGGGATAATGTTTGGTGTTATAAGGACGATGTCATCAGCAAAACGCAGCAATCTAACTGCCGACCATAGATTTTCACTCCCACATTATCCCATTCCAATGTTCGCATGGCGTTCTGGAGGGTGCCGGTAAATAATTTTGGCGAGATGCTATCGCCTTGCCTAACCCGTCTCTTGACGGCGACGTTAATATCGACGGAGAATGGTGATATCTTGGCTGTGAAATTCTAATACAGCTCACGAAGAATCTTTATATACTAAATAAGGACTCCCTGGCTGTCCTGGGTTTACATCAGTCCTATCTCAATTGAGTGAAAAGCCTTCTTTAAAATGATGAAAGTGAGACAAAGCGGTCTCTTGTACTGTCGCGGTACTTCTGTGAGTCTTGGTATCGTGTGATCCATTGTAATCGTTTTCGAAACCCTGCTTATCCATATGGTTATCCTTCATCCAGTGTTCTTTCAGTCCTTTAGGTTGACTCGATTCAGAAGTTTGTAGACGACAGACAGCAGATTGGGCTATAGTTGCCGATTTCATGGAGATCACCCTTCTTGAAAAATAACACGGCTTTACTGGTCTTACATTCAGTAGGGACCTTGCATTCAGGTACAGAACGAGTGAAGAGCCGAGTTAGTGTGTTTACGAGGGCTCACAGAAGGTTCTTCTGGTGTTCAGATCTTGTCCTGTATGGACTTGTTGCTGTTCGATTTTTCACCGACGAAGTGGCATGTCGGAATTCAGAAGGGTGAACCGGTTGTGCGACATATCCATCCTTCTTTATTTCATATGAGGGCAGAAGGACATAACTCTTGAAGGGATTTGAGTAGTAGTCGTGAATGGGTTTCCCCATAGGCTTTCTGGACGCTGTAATCGTTCCGTCTGGGCGTCGGAATGCAATCATGTTTCTAATTGGCGAAGCTTCGGCAGGCTTTGCATGTGCTTTTCCTAGCCTTTGTAGCTTCGACCATAGCTGCTGCTGTTCTCTCTTTGAGATTTTTTATCGCCTCTCCGCATCGTTTTGCCAGTTGGGATGTGAGTTGGCGATTGCCTATAGCTTGTGCGATTCAGCGCTGGCTTGAAAACTCGAATGTTTCTGGCGACAGACTTCCCTTGGTGACTTTCGAACTCTTAGCTTTCATATTGCTAACGTGAAGATGTTGAATGAGCCGATCGTATTCCTCATCGATGTTATCAAGAACAGAATCTTCCCCACAGCTGAATAATGAAGCGAATGAATCTCAGTTTGTGGTGGTGCTGGGACTTCATTTTGTGAATTTAGCGGCAATTCCTCCCTCTCGCGAAAAATGAAAACTTGCATGAGAGAGGCGATCGTCTGATCTCGTATTGTATTTTGGGACAACGGCAATATCGGTTAGGCAAAACCTTCGATTTATTATAACGTGGTCAATTTCTTTCGAAATTCGCCAGGCGACGTCTGTCTCCAGAAACACTGCAGCTGATACGCCAGCGTGGAATCGCAGGAGCCGCAGGCAACCACGAACTAACGTCCCAACTTGCAAAACAATGCAGACAAGCGATAAAAGAAGATCTTAAAGAGAGAAAAGCAGTAGTAATGGTAGAAACTGCAGAAGGTGAGAAAAGCATTCGCAAAGCCTACCGAAACTTCGTCAATTACGAACGCGATTCCATTACTACGCCCAAACGGAACAGTTACAGCGTCCAGAAAGGCAATGGAGCAAATCATTCGCGAATACTACTTGGATCTCTTCAGTAGCCACGTCCTTCTTCCCTTATATGAAATAAAGGAGGATGGATATGTTGTACCACTGGTTCTCCCTTCCGAAATCCGACATGTTCTTTCCTCGGTGAAAATTCGGACGGCACCAGGTCCGGAGAGGATAAGATCTGAACACTTGAAGAAGCTTCCGTCAGTTCTCGTAAACACACTGCACGGGGTGTTCACGCGTTACCTGACCTAATGCTTTACCGTTCGTTTGGTTATATAAGTAATTTTCGATATTCTCTTCCTAATCTTCTTTCCTGTACTTTGGTGATTTCACTGTTCTGTTATGATTATTATAGTTAGATATCATTAAGCTCGTTTCAAGCGCTGAATTAGAATCTGTGGGTATTTTTGATTTCTCACTGAAGTATTTTTAATTTATCCTCACTTGTGAAAGACGTAAACAGCATTAGCAAGTATTCTAGAAAAATCCAATCAGTTAATAGCTTTAATTGAAAAGTTTTTCTTATTGAAATTCGAACCCTCTAGTGCTATCAAAAAATTTTAATGTGTATCACGATAGTGTTTCACTCCGTCACAAGTGGTTATATACATCCTTGCTCCTTTTTCTTCTTTAATATTTTGTCATAATAGTCGTAATCTCATTGAGCACTTTTTGATCATTTTGACTTAACATTTCTAAATGTTCGACATTACTTTTCTATTCCATCTTTTTTTGCTACGAAATATTGGCAGTGAATTAGATTAGGTTCAAGGCTCCCATTAAGAGACTGCTTTCTGCATCATTGTGTGTTAATCTACAGTTTACAACAGTGGAGCAGTCTTCTAAGGTTACTTAGATTGATAAAAGGGTTCAATATTTATGTCATAGTGGTGTTGGCAGCGAATTATTCGTAACTGCACGTGTACAATTAAACCGAGAAAGCAGTGGATTCAGGAAATTTGATGCTTTTCGTATGCCTTGTACGCGCAGAATCCATTGCGTATCTCCGATGCTCGGTAACAGCGGGTGAACGTTTTACTGTTGCTAATTCGAAATAATCGTTGCTTTTTCTACTGCTTTAATATTCATGCTTTGAAATATCTAGCGATCGTTCTTAATTTCGAAATTCAGATAGCCTACTTTCTAAGTCCGCATTTAGTTGGTTTCTCTAAGTAAAATGTGAGTGTGTGCTTTAGAATAAGAAAATGCGTAAGGATTACGAAGAAATGGAACAGTCCATATATAGCCAGCGAATGTTTCGAGCTCATCACCAAGCCAATATAGCAGGTCATGGAGCAGCCGACGAAATGAACAGTAGGTTACGTATGTTGTTTGCTCGTTCATCGAAAGCATGCTGAATGTTTAAACTTGTAAAGACCACTTTCAATATTATCTGTTCTAAAATGCTTTCGTTGAACATCGTCTTGCATAAAATTCGATAGTTTCTCGTATTCTGAACACAAATTGATGTTCTTCTAACAGATGCTTCGATTAAGGCGACATTTGAGGATGAATTTAGTGAGTTTGCGAGTACTTGTTGTATCGTTTTCCCATCTCCTTGGTTTTTTTGTCACAGTGTATTCTTTAATGCACAATCGTTCTTCAGTTTTAACTTTTGATAGAAATTATACTTTTTAGAAGAATGACTATTTTAGTACAAATTGCCTGACACTAATATATAACCGTGTAGCTTTTCTCGCATTTGGTTTTTGCTTTGGGATTAAATTCGCATCATTATTAGGACATTTTCTTTCTTATGATATTTTAATGAGCAGTAGTCGTCCGTAATATAGCAGTAACGTCCAACTTGTTTTCACTTAAAGAAGTGTTCTACCGGAGTTTTTCACTTAAGCTTTGTCTTGGAATATTTGTTTGGCAATATGAGCTTTGTGTATTGCTAGGCGTTGTTGAAACGTAGTAGGTACCTGGGAGGGCAGATAAAGTTTGGTTATTTGGGACTCGGTTAGTTCAGCACTGACAAATGTACCGCTTTTTGTACTTCGTGGAATTAGTGCTAGCTTAATGTTTTCTAATAGTTCATGCTTATGTAGCCTTGCTGTTAATTTTTTCTTTGCGAAGGAAATCTCTGCTCTGTTCATCTGAGCAATTCCATGCAGATTCTATGTTCATGGCTGTAAATATTATGAAATGTGAATTAGTTGACGTATATGAAGTAATACTTCTTGTTCTCAGAAGAAGCTGCTAAGCAGTTAGCTGAATTCAAGTTCAAGCTTCAAGAAGCTGAGCGAGAGAACACAAATCATCAAGGCAATGTGAGTGGTTTTTTTTGCCTGCTTTATAGTGCGAGTGTTTTCCCTCCATAATTTCTCCTTACTAGTTAATAAGTATCTACATCATAATGAAGACGATTCTACATTGCGTTACAGATAATTAGAATCGAAGGTCAGCTGAAGCGATTTAAAGCGAATGCCGAGTCGGCGGAGAAGGAACTCGATGAGGTGAAAACTCAGAATAGGCTGCTAAAAAAAGAGGTAGCTTTTGAGTCTCTCATTAAATCTGTTTCTTTCATATGTGGCCCTTTTTGGTATGCTATTTTCGCCTGGGTATCATTTCGTGTTAGGATAAGCAGAAAAGAAAGAAATCATAGTAGTTGTCCATGTTTTGTGTACTGTATTTCGCGTGAAATATCCTTGTCCATAGAACTTGCGATTATTCCCTTTTACTACACAGAGGCTCGCTAATGAATGTATGAGGATAACGTTACTTATTGAAGAGAGATTCTCGCTCTTAATTGGAGCTGATGTGGGTGTATGTAACCATCCTTCTTCGATTCTTTCTTTGTAGTTTTGAAATTGATCCACTCTCTCGTTATCTTAGACACGGTTCCAAGTACTATCTTTTTATGACCAATGGGCCCGTGCTTTTTATAGAACGGTTTCTATAGCACATTTCCTTGCCGCAAGGCCTTTCCAGTACTCAGTGTCCGGGTGCGTGCCACTATCTCTATATTGAGCTTTCATTTTCAGAATGCTGTAATAATTGGGTTAAGGCTATGCATAATTATACTATAGGATTCTTGCTTTGTCACCTGAACGTTGACAATTGACATTAAGTTAGAATATTATTTAAGTCAGAATTTACGCATTGTTTGCTGTTATGAGATAAGGAACGTTAAAACAATGTTCACAATCACAATGATGATGAATCACATCAATCATAGCAACAGCCTTCATTTCTTTATGGATCGTTCTGCATGAATTGTCTCCGAGGGTACAAATACGTCCATTTTTAATTCGGCGTTTCCATGTAGGTTTTAGGGTAGAGAGTATTCGGAGTTAAAGCTGGTATTAATTTTATCACCATACAATTTTCCATGATTTTCTCTGTCGTAGTATTTATGGGTTTCTTTTTTTCCCTTTGGTTTTCTCTACGAATATCATTAAATGCTTTCATTCTGTGTCTATCGGCGGGAACTTCACAAAAAGGTCTGGTACCAATTTTCCAACCAATGATCGATGGGATGCTTCGATTGTCCAAGCGGGGCCGTACTGGGGCCTTGTGCGTGTTGAGCTCTACCCGATTCCCAACGATAGTTTGATAAAATAATTTTGATCGAGTGCTTAGTAAAGTTATGAATTTGAATATGTGTTTAAGCGTATTAAAATAATGTACATTTGTATTCGAAATCTTAATTGATTATCGATCAGCTTTAGTTGTGAAAAGATCAGTCAAAAGGTCTTTCCATTTTAAAGCGAAACTCTTAACGCAGAAATTATACCACTCTTTTAAATTACCAATTCCTCGCCATATATGGTAAGAGAAGAAGAGGGTAGATAGGTAGAAGTGGTTTCCCTTGTTTAGGCCATATTGCCGAATACTCTGGTCTCGTTGTACTTTAAGAATCCAGTCACGAGGCCACATCTCTACAATCACTACATTACATGTGTGGGTAATGTGCCTTTCTCACGTTAAAATATCAGTCTGAGATATTGTGTGAGATCACGCGTGGCAATAAGGCCTTTCATGCGGTACATTTTTGTTCTTTGGAATTCATCTAGACTACTTCGAGGGTTTTGAGAGCCAAAGTTTTAGGTTACTTTGCGAAGATCTTCGATTTTATAATCTTCTCCGCTATGCCTTCATGTCCCATGCTTGCCTAGTGGAGTGCTCTGTTTGACTTTAAGCATTCCAAATACGTGCTGTTTTATACGTATGCAGAGTTGTCTGCCTATTTCGTCAAAGTACTCGTTCCTGCACATTTTACAAGAGAGGATACATCGTACTCGAACTAATCCAATTGCCATTTCTATCTTTAGGGCAAATTATGCAAAATATAAACTGTAAACTGTGTGTAGTTCTTCGCCATCAGTGGGTGGAAGAATTATAGAACAAAGTGGTGGCTCGTGTGAAATGCTGAGATATTTGCAAAACTCTGGACCGCAGGTGTATGCAGTGGGGAGCGAACACGCGCTGTTGTCCTTACCGGGGAGCAGCGCACTTCACCACCACACCATCCGGGTCCTTCGTCTTGCCTGTCTCTCAGCTAGTTCTATCGATCTTTTTGCCATCAGCAATTACCCGTCAACGGGATTGATCTGGGGAGCCCAAATCGGCATTGAACCCAGCTAAGCTGAGGCTTGGTTATAATCACAATCTTAATCTTTTTATTTACTGCTTTTTTCTTCTTAATGGCAGGGTATGTTGCGAAATATAACTCGTATGTAAATAAAAGGGCTAAGATTATGATTATAACTAAGCCTCAGCTTAACTGGGT